GATATTCCATTAATTGCACATTAAGACCTATCATTAGTCAATGTAGTGGTCTCACGACACTGGCCCCTAATGTATAGTGTCTAGTTCTGGTTTGGATTATCAAGCTAATCTCATTAGCGTACTAGAAGGAAGCTTGCTAATGCCATCATTTCATAGAGTACAGGGCAGAGTGGGAATGGGGGAATCACCCATTCCCTCTGCCTTTGCTTTCTGCTCTTTTATCCTTGACAGACACAGGCAAGAAGAAAGCAGCCATGTAACCCATAAGTGGAAGGCTGGTGTAGCCAGAAAACTACTTCAGGCTGACACACTTTCCTCTTCCTCAGGAGCAGGCCAAGAAGTGAGGGGCGCTGTCTTTGCAAAGCATCCTTTCCATCTTGTTTTCTGTGGACATCTGTGGCTTTTGTCCAATCTCTATCCATACCTCCTCCTTCCAGGATTTTCTTTTGGGAAACTCTACCTCTCTCGATGAACGTAACCTTGGGGGAATCACCAAGAGTGCATCCAAGGAAGGCCAATAGTATAGTGTTCTCTGGAGACTGGATCTTTAGCAGAACAATGCAGGGGTAGAGCATCCTGAAGACAATGCCAGAGGCTCACCACCTTCCCCGGACCCTCGAGGGCTCTGGACTCTGTCCCTTCATAGCCCGGTTCTTCAGCTTCTCCTTGCCTTTCCAAGAAAAACCTTCTCTGATCAAGGCAGTGACAGTCTATGCCTCTTTCTTACAACCAACATCAAACCCTGACATATAAAGGGAGACCCCCCCCAAAACACAAATTTATTTATTAAAAAATTGTGTATTTACTCTTTTTTTTTTTTTAGTTGGAGTCTCACTCTGTCACCCAGGTTGGAGGACAGTGGCACACTCACAGCCACCGAAGCGTCAACCTGCTAGGCTCTGGCAATCCTTCCGCCTCAGCATTCCAAGTAGCCGAAACTACAGACGCGCTACCACACCCAAGTAATTTTTGATTTATTGTAGAGACAAGGTCTTGCCAAGTTGCCTGGTCTGGTCTCAAACCCGTGGGCTCAGGCAATTCACTCGTCTCGGCCTCCCAAAGTGCTGGGATTACAGGCTGAGCCACCGAGCCCAGTTGTGTATTTACTCTTACATGCGTAAACTTCAGCCATCTTCAAAGTACTCTCTGTTTGATACAATACACCTATCAAGATGCTTTCTCCACTGCTCAAAACTGTTTTTGAACTCATCAAATTTGATGCCTTTTAGTGCTTCTGCTGTTTTTTTGTTTCACCTCTTCCACATCAGCAAAACATTTCCCTTGAAGAACTGTTTTTGGGCAAACCCCTTGGGTCCCCTCCCACTATGGGAGTTTTTCTGTCCTCTCACTAAATTCTGCTTTTTTAAAAAAAAAAAACAAAAAAAACAAAACTGTTTTCATCCCAGGAAACAAAAAAAAGTCACTCGGGGTGAGAATGGGTGAATAGGGGTGGGGCATGGGGGGGTCATGTTGTTTTTGGTCAAAAACTGCTGAATACTCAGCATGGTGTGGGCAGGTGCATTGTCATGGTTGAAGAACCAGTCACCTGTCTGCCATAACTCAGGACATTCCTTCCACAATTCAGCCTCTCACAACAATGCTAGCTGGTACACTGATGCTGATGGGTTCCTAGAACACTAACTCAGTGGAAGAAACCTGTACTATAGGGGCCTGCCCTCCAAAAGATAATTCTGCTCTTTGGGGAAGTCCCCCCTGATACATCTCTCTTAAATGCATTAATTCATCCTATGGGTTTTTGCCAACAGCAAGGAGTCTGTGATGCTTCAGAGCAAACACTCTGGCCAGGGTGCTAGTCTGGTTTCTGCCTCTAATCTATTACCTGACCTTGTACAAACTCTTTCTGCTCTCTGGGCCTCAGTTTCCCCCTTAGTAAAATAGTGGGTTGGACCAGACCAGCAGCTTCCAATTATCCCCTGCAGTTATTCAGATTTCACCCCAGAAAACCCTCAGGGGTCTACCTGGGGAGCTCCAAGCAGTCCACCCAACTCACTTCAATTAGAATAGCTCTGCTTTTGTCCAATTTACTTATTAAGCATGAGATTTTGTTTATTGGTCCTCAGCTAAAAATAAATATTTGAAAAAACGCTGTACCACATGATCTCTAAAGGGCTCTTCCAGCTCTGATGTTCTGTGATTCTAAGCAGGTGGAATATTTGGTAACATCTTTTCAATCATCAGCATAATTGGGAGTGCAGAAATGCCTGCCAAAACATAATCTATATCTAAATAAAATCGTCTGTGTGCAAAACAATGGCAATGAAGGACATTTAGAAAAGAGCAGGATGTGTGGAAGGACTGGAGACAGACAAAGCACAGATCACTATTTTGCAATTCTGGCGAGGCCTGGGGTGTCGGGGTGGGAGGGAAGCCTGCAGCAGCTTGATCCAGTCTCTGTGGTTCTTGAGTAAAGACTGCAAAGAAGTGAACTGAATCCCGACCCTCCTGTTTCCTTGGGCACATCTGATGTTTTGTATACGTTCCATTAGTGATCATTAGTATTTGTACATTGGAAAATGCATTGAAAAACCCGGCTTCCTCTGGAAAAACCGGAAGGTGTGACAGCATCGGGCTTGCATTTCAATAGGATAGCAACTGTTTGGAGAGGAACAACGATTGTCTCTTGTCTTCGCAGTGCGCAGTGCATGTCTGTTTCCCTCTGCCCTAGGCCCTATTCCTCCCCATATTCCTGACCCTGAGGCCAAGTGCCAGCTACTGCGGCTACCACCTTGCACCATCTTCCCTCTCCCTCACTGCAAAGCAATGGCAGTTGAAACATACATCCTTATATCCTAGTCATTAACCAAAGTGGAGAAGCAAAAAATAGACTCAGAAAAACAAGAAAAACAGGGCAGAAATGGTTCTCACTCTCTCCAGGAGACATTTGACAATGTCCAGAGACTTTTTTGGTTGTCACAACTAAAGAAGGTATTAATGTCATCTTACAGTGTCACAACCAGGGAGACTGCTCAACACTTTACAAAGCAACAGGACAGAGCCGGGCTTGGTGGCTCAGTCTGTAATCCCGCGCCTTGGGAGGCTGAGATGAGTGGATTGCCTGAGCCCATGGGTTTGAGACCCGCCTGGGCAACCTGGTGATCAGCGGGGCGTGGTAGCGCGCGCCTGTAGTTCCAGCTACTTGGAAGGCTGAGGCGAAAGGATCGTCGGAGTCCAGCAGGTCGAGGCTGCGGTGGCCCGGAGCAGCCACTGCACTCCAGTATGGGTGACAGAGTAAGACTCCAACTCACACACACACACAAAAAAAACAAAGCAACAGGACTGCCCGTACAACAAAGAATCATCCGACCCCAAATGTTTATAGTTGACAGCACCTGCTTTAGGGAGTTTCTGTGAGTTTAATGTGCCCAGTCCCTTTGCTCTCTCACATTATTTACCTGAGCCCTGCCCTTCAGGCCTTAGTGACACAGGCCTGGCTTTGAGGATTTAGGAGGCAGAACAGGGAAATCAGAGTCCATCCTAATGGGGCGAGGGTAAGGATAAGAATTAAAGCTCAGATGTGGGTGTGGTGGCTTCCATGGCTTCACTCTCCCCTATTTTTGCTCTTACAACCCTTATGAGCAGTCCAGGAGAAGGTGCTTTTCTCAGTGATGTTAAGTACCTTGCTTTAGGCCTCAAAGTATGTAAATATCAGGGCTAAGCCCAAGGCAGAGATGTGGCAGTCTGTTCTGGGCTGGGCTCTCACCTCTGCCTTGGACTTTGTGTGTCAACCTGCTACCTCCCTGCTGTCCAGCACATGCTCTTAGCTGGAGTCTGATGTTACCAGCACCCACAGAATCTAGACAGATGAGAGTCTACCCACTGTGCCATGCTTCCCCCACAGTGGATAGAACTTGCTGGAAAGGCAAGTAATTGCTATCTGAAAAATATGATGGGGACTGACAGGCACTAAGAGGTCTGGGGAAAGCAAGAAGCAAAGTCTGGGGAGAGAATGGAGGTTAAATCCAAGAGATAAGCACAGTCCCTGTAAGTTTCTCTATTGCAGGGTCAAAAGTCAGCCAAAACCAGGGCAGAGAAATTCTGCATCAGAGAGTCAAGGAGGGAGCACAAAAATCAACAACTTATTACTCTCCATCCATTCATCCATCCATCCATCCATCCATCCATCCATCCACCCACCCACCCATCCATCTATTCATCCATGAATCCATGTATCCATCTATCCTTGCAGCACATTTATGGAGGAGGGGTCAGACCATGGGCAAGGTTTATGGTCCCTGTCCTTGTGGAATCAAAACCATGCTCGGAGATTTCCAGCTGTTTGATGTCATGCAAGTTACTTCCCTCTCTGAGCTTCTTGATCAACAAAAGGAGAAGGAAATATTTCCATCTTGCAGGAGGTGATGTGAAGATTAAATAAGATCTCCTTAGCACAGGCCTGACTCAGACTCTCAGTAAATGACTCCATGGCTCCATCCCTCCCTCCATGGCGGGTATCGCTCAGGTAATTAGACAGGATTCCTGTGGTTCACTGAGGCAGACACAGCTTCTGGGGTTACTGCTCAGTTCAAAAGGTCCTCTCATCTTTCAGAGAACCGATTCTCCCCCATGAGGTTAGGGGGTGTTTTGTGGACTACATCACACAAGAAGCAGGACCCAGGATGCAAGCTGCAGAATGGTCCATCAATCAGCAGCAAGCATGAATGTGATGGGTGAGCACATGGGTTCCCACAGCAATCCTGCTCTCTCTAATAAATTCCACTTGACTTCATAATCTCTCAGGAAGCATCAAGCAGTAGAGTCACAGCTGCTTATAAGGTGGGGAATGGGGTGGGAGATGGGGGTGGGCAACCCCTCTCATTCAAGGCACAATTAGGCACTTATTAAGGACTAGGACACACACAGTGATAAACTGTTATCCCAAGCTCCCACTGCTGAAACCCCTGTGGCCCTCTACCAGATGGTCTTCAAGCAGGAGGCTAGCGCGTGCAGATGTGTATGTCTGGATGTGTGGGCCGACTCACCGAGCTTGTACCACATATCGCGGATGGAGAAGCCAATTAGCCGCCTCATGTCCCCATACCTGGGAGGAACAAAAACCTTTGCTTCAGGCACCATCTCAGAGCATCTCATGAAACCCCTCTCCTCTTCAGGAAATCCAAAAATGCAACCTACTTATTCAGGATTTTGTTGTACTTGGCGTGCGAGAACTGCTCCAGCTGCAGAGAATCCTGAGTGATAAAAGCCACTGCCAGATGAAAATAGTTGTTCCACAGCTGTAAATGAAAGAGCAGAAGAACAGTTATGGAGAGGGTCTGAAGTGGGAAGGCATATTCAGCGCTGGCGAGTGTGAATAATTTATGAAGATGGCAGAAGATAGAGGCAGAACCAGTTTAATTGTGCCCACTGCAATTTTCTAACTGGCACCGACTCTGAAATTAACATCCTGGCCAAAGCGAGGACAATGGATGGATTTCTCTAGGCACTGACCACGTCCACTTGCAGACAGCAGGGTACAGGCAAGGAAGAGGATTTGGGGATTTTTTTTAGTGTGTGTCATTGTTGTTGTGCTTTGTTTTGTCTGTTGAAAGACAAATAGCTCACCCTAGCTGGTTGCCCTGGTGAGCTGGCTCCTGACCTGAAGGACAGGGGGATGAAGGGTAAGGTTGTTCAAGGGCTCACAGCCTCTCTGAAGTCCTTTCACCTGACAGCTCAGAGGACCAGCCTGCATTTGGTCTCAAGATATTTTTCTCTTGTCCTTCCCTTTAGTTTAATGGTCCCCAGACTCCTAGCAGAAGCAGCAGCATCACCTGGGAACTTGTTAGAAATGCAAATCTCTGGTCCCGGCCCAGATCTACAGAATCAGAACCTCTGGGGGTGAGGCCTTGAAATCTGTAGGCTAACAAATGCTCCAGGTGATTCTGATGCTCATTTGAGTTGGCACCCTTGTAGGTATAGTGTATGTAGACTCATCATAATTTTCACATGTACATGGTCTGTTGATGCTAAATGGAAGGGATGAATACTAGAACCTGTTCCATCGGCTTGCCATGAAATAGAGTAGGTATAGGAGTCAGCACATGGCGAATGCTGGGAAGATTGGCCCCAGGGATGGCGAAATTGATATACAGCCTTCAGAACCAGAGAGGTGTCGCTCCAAACCAAGATTTTATGGAGCCTCAGTGAATCTGTCTACAAAATTGGATGACTCTGGTATCCCCTGCAGCAGGCTACAGTGAAGATGACACAAAATCATGTGTTTAAAGGACACGAATCACAGTAAGAGTTCAAAAATACTCATTAGCCTTATTGTCATGCTTTTCATTGTTCGAGTGGTTCCTTTGGTACCAAAGCCAATGGTAGAGCCTTGAGTGCTCAGGGCAATTGTTACGAGATGCCAAGACCCTGCGGGAAACAGGTGGAAGATAGTCTTGCTTAACAAAGCCCACCCACTTCAGGCCCCCCTCAACACCATATAGCAAGAGGATGGGTAACATTAGCTAGAGAAATCATTCTGCCATTGAGACCTTCATCCTTGACTCAGAGTTTGCAGATGGCCATCATCAGAGTTTGCAGATGGCCAAGACCAGGAAAAGACAACTCTACCATTGATCATGGAACACATTATTGTTGCCCAAAGTATGACTTTCAAGTGGGCTTTGGTTCCAGTTACAGAAGAAAGCAAAGCAAACACTCCATTTTTACCATGGGACAAGTACTTTCCCATACCTCTTCCTTTTATCCCTCAAAACTTGATAGCTCTTATTATTCTCTTTTTCAGATGAAGAGACTGTGGCTTGGCAAGGTTAAGTATTTTATCCAAGGTCACTCAGCTTGTTATACACAAGCAGAGCTTGGACTTGCACCCAGACCTTTGGATTGATGTCTGGGGTTCCTAAACACACCATGGTTATCTCCAGCTGAGGATGCATTTAACGGATATTTCTTCTAAGTGCCCAGGAATTGCCACAGGGTGGTAGCAGGACAGTGTGACACAGCCAGAAATGTCTACCCTCGTGCAACTTACCTTTGGCTGAGCAAATACACTTTTCTTTAGGTAGACCTTTGTCTCCCAGGGCCTAAAAGACCAAGCCACTCCTGGGGTACAGTGAGGCAGCCTCCTGGCTTATGGTCCCCAGAAAGTCAACTCTCCACACAGACTAGAAGGATCTTTCTAAACAAGTCAGATCATGTTCCTTGAAGTCTTCCAAAGGCTTTCCTGTACCACTTAGCATCAAACCTCCTTGTTTCCATAGCAACCTTGATTATCCACACACACAGTGCAGGTCAAGGTCTCCTGTCCACAGCTGCTCAGACTGTCTTTCCCCCAGGTGCCTGGTGAGGGAGCAGGTCCTCTAAGGCAGCAGTCCCCAACTTTTTGGTATCAGGAACTGGCTTCATGAAAGACAATTTTTCCACACACTGGGGTGGGCCTGGGAGGATCATCAGGCATTAGATTCTCATAAAGAGTGTGCAACCTAGAGCCCTCACATGCACCATTCACAAGAGGGTTTGTGCTTCTATGAGTAACTAATGATGCCATTGATCTGACAGAAAGTTTTGCTCACTCGTTATTCACCTCCTGCTGTGCAGCCCAGTTCCTAACAGGCCATGGATCACTCTGTGGCTCAGGAGTTGGGGACTCCTGCTCTAGGGTGTTTGGAAACATGTTGCTGTGGTCAGCTCATGCTGGGAGCTCATATCCCCTCACATTTAAGACCAGGACATGAAACACCAAGCCAGGGAAAGAGAAAAACACACACATGGTCTGTTGGCACTAAATGGGAGGGACAAATACTAGAACCTGCTTCACCAGCTTGCAAGAGCATTTTCAAAGTGAGGAATCTCTGATTTTAGGGGCTGTGTAAGAGGAATCGGGGTACAAGAGGAAACAGACATCTGTCACAGCAAATTGAATTACTATTATTTCTGAGAACAATTCCAGAAATGCCCCAACACATAAGATATGTCAAATATAGTTGAGCTTCATGCTGGCCTTTACTCTTTCTGAATTAATCCTTAAAAAATATTTTCGCTGGCACCAGATTCCTGATTTTCTTTTTTAATTGAAATATAATTTACATATAACATTCACTTTTTAAAGTGTACAGTTCAGTGGTTTTTAGTATATTCACAAGGTAATACAACTATCACTGCTTTCTAATTTTAGACCATTTTGTCATCCCAAAAAGAAAGCCTCTACCCATTAGCAGTCATTCTCCCTTCTCTCCTTCTCTTCCAAACCCCCAGCAGCTCCTGGAAGCTACTAATCCCCTTTCTGTCTCTGTGGATCTGCCTATTCAGACATTTCATACACATAAAGACATACAATATGTGACCGTTTGTGTCTGACTTCTTACACTTGGTACAATATTTTGAAGACACATCCATGCTAATGGACATTTGGGATGTTTCTACTTTTTGACCATTATGACTGATGCCATAAGAACATGTTTATATGAGATTTTGAGTAGACATGTTCTCAATTCTCATGGAAACAGACCTATTTTTTTGTTTTTCGGCCCTTGTCCTGGAAGAATCTTATGGACTAAGAGGCCATAGCTGTACCTCATCTTCTTAGTGGATCAGAAATAACACACCTAAGCACCTCACCCACAGCCCTGCCCAGTTCTGCCCAGGAGGCTCTGAAGGAAGGTTGTCATAGTCAGTGGCTCTGTGCAGATGAGCATTGGCCACAGCTAGATACTGCTGGACAGGCATAATGTCTGTGCCCCAAACCTTCCTTGACTCTTGTTCCCAAAGAATCAGGACCAGAAATATTCACCTGGCTTTTAAGGCCTTAGACAACTTCCATGGACTTTAGGGGTTCCTCCTTCAACAAACTGCCTGTCTAGGTAGGCTGGTCAGCTACTACTCCACAGAGGCTCACAGGAACATTTTGGTCCCTGTGGCTTTGCTCAGGGTGGTCCTCATACCTACAGTGTCTGTGTCTTGTTCTTCCATCAAAGCTCAATGCAAGACCTACTTCCTTCATGAAGACTTCCCAGGAAGCAGACTACAGTGGATCTGGCTGATCCCTTCCTAATTTGAGGAGCACTTATTTTTTTGCAACCACAGATTTTGGTCCACTGTTCTGCACCTGGCCTTGCGCGCCATTCACTTCCCATGACAGCATTGTCCAGGTCAAGAACATACCTGTCAGTGTCTTGCAGATCACAGCATGAAAACCACTTCTATCTCTGACTAGCTGGATTGCCTTTGGTAGTTACTTGACCTTTCTGAACCTCTATTTTCCTCACTTGTAAAATAGCAAAACTAATGATACCCACCAAAAAGGAATCTTATAAACGCTGGATGAGATAATACAAGCATGAGGCATCCATCATGACCTTGGCACACTCCATGTGCTTATCAAATGGAAGGGTGGTATTGATGTGGCGCTGCCAATGGGGTATTTATATGTCTTGTCTTCCCCAATTGTAAGTGCCATGAGGACCAAGGGTCCCATCTTCCACTGATTTGTAACCCAAAGCCATACTCAGCACGATGGATTGAATACAGCTTGGCTCCAGAAAATATTTATTTGTTGATCACCAGAGTATCAGAGATATTCTTCCAAAGGTCCTAGCTTTTTTTTCTACAAGATTTTTATATTCTGCTATAAGCTTCCTGGTGATATTTCTAGTAAGTGCCTAGCTTAGCTGACTCAGAGAAGCCATGGGGTCTCTTTAGCAAATCCCACAGGTCACTTTGCCCTGGGGAAGAGGTGAGGTGATTTCTGATTGGGAATTTAATGTTTTGAAATCATAGGACAATAGAGGGTTAGAATTGGAATAAAGTTAAGGGTCATCTGGTCTGACGCACATATTTCATAGATGTAAACACACAAGGTCCAGGAAGTTAAAAACCACCTGAAGTCATATTACTAGTGGTTGTAATGAGAATCTAGCTATTTTTACTTAACTCTCAAAAATACTATGAGTAATATACACCCATAGACTACAAAAATTAAATAATAAAAAAGATTAAATAGTTGAAAGTGATTTTCCATCCTACCTTAAACCCTAGTCTAATTTCCCAGAAGAAAATATTAACAATTCCTTTGAAAGACTTTCAGAAATTTTTAACGCATAAACAAATATATGTGTAGACATCTTTTTAAAAATATTCTGCTGCTGTACATGGCTTTTTTGTCTTACTAATATATCTTGTAAATGTTTCCATATTAGCATATATGGATCTGTGTCATTCTTTTTTATTGCTACATCATATTTTGCTATAAGGATGTACTTTAATTTTAACCAAATTCCCTATT